GTTCGTCCGCAATTCTACATTCTGTCTTACCTCTAATTCTTTCAATTATAACCCTACCGTACACTTTTCCTGGTATACTCAGTAAGCTTATTCCTCTATAATTTTTACAGTCTCTTTTGTCCCCTTTCCCTTATATAAAGGACTATACATGCTCTCCGCCAATCCCTAGGTACCTTCCCTCTTTCATACATTTATTGAACAAAAGTACCAACCACTCCAACACTATATCCCCCCCTGCTTTTAACATTTCTGTCATGATCCCATCAGTACCAGCTGCTTTACCCCCCTTTCATTCTACGTAATGCCTCACGTACCTCCCCCACACTTACATTCTGCTCTTCTTCACTCCTAAAAGATGGTATACCTCCCTGACCAGTGCATGAAATTACCGCCTCCGTTTCTTCCTTAACATTTAAAAGTTCCTCAAAATATTCTCGCCATCTACCTAATACCTCCATTCTCCCATCTACTAACTCCCCTACTCTGTTTTTAACTGACAAATCCATACTTTCCCTTGGCTTTCTTAACTTGTTTAACTCACTCCAAAATTTTTTTCTTATTTTCATTAAAATTTCTTGACAGTGCCTCTCCCACTCTATCATCTGCTCTCCTTTTGCACTCTCTCACCACTCTCTTCACCTTTCTTTTACTCTCCATATACTCTGCTCTTCTTATAACACTTCTGCTTTGTAAAAACCTCTCATAAGCTACCTTTTTCTCTTTTATCACACCCTTTACTTCATCATTCCACCAATCACTCCTCTTTCCTCCTGCCCCCACCCTCCTATAACCACAAACTTCTGCCCCACATTCTAATACTGCATTTTTAAATAGAATTATCAAAGCATATTGCTTGGGTAGCGTTTATTCTGTGAGTGGGTTGGATCTGTGAAGGACCTGCCAAGTACATGTATAGGCCAACAGGCCTACTGCAGTGTTTCTCCTTTCTTATGTTCTTATTGCTTGGGTAGCATTGAAAATTGGGGTGGGCAAATATAATGCTAGTGGGATAGATTGTGAAGGACCTGCCTAGTATGGGCCAACAGGCCTACTGCAGTGTTCCTACTTTCTTATGTTCATATGTTCTTATAACATAAGAACATAAGAAAATAAGAAAGGAGGAACACTGCAGCAGGCCTGTTGGCCCCTACTAGGCAGGTCCTTCACAATCCATCCCACTAACAAAACATTTGCCCAACCCAACTTTTAATGTCACCCAAGAAATAAGCTCTGAACACTCTGGGAGTTTCAGAGTGATACACCAATAAAGGCTTCACTTTGCAATCACCACTAGCATTAGCACACATCAAGAGAGTAAGCCTGTCTTTCACAGGCTTATGTCCTGAGAGTGCCTTTTCCTCCTCAGTAATGTAGGTCCTGTTTGGCATTTTCTTCCAAAACAGGCCTGTTTCATCACAATTAAACACTTGTTCAGGTTTCAGTCCTTCACTGTCTATGTACTCCTTGAATTCCTGCATATATTTTTCAGCCGCTTTTTGGTCCGAACTGGCAGCCTCACCATGCCTTATCACACTATCTATGCCACTACGATTCTTAAATCTCTCAAACCAACCTTTGCTGGCCTCAAATTCACTCACATCACTAGTTGCAGGCACTTCCTAGCCTTTTCACATATGATTGCTTGAGAGATGCTATCTCCTGATATCTGGTTTTCGTTTATCCACACCAATAACAGTCTCTCAACATCTTCTATCACTTGCAATCTCTTATTCGAAAACAAAGTTGCACCTTTGGCAAGAACAGCGATGGTTGATTGGGGTTTCGTATACAACCTGGCCAGCTCGGAGACACGCACTCCACTTTCGTACTTAGCAATTATCTCTTTCTTCATATCCATAGTAATTCTCACCCTTTTTGCTGTAGGGTTGGCACTAGAAGCTTTCTTGGGGCCCATGGTGACTTATTTTGCAGGTAAAATCACTAAAAACGCTGTGATAATATGAAATGCTCCGATTGTGTGCTTGGAAGCGACTGCGGTAGCTGGCTTGTAAACACTGGCACCCATGGGAGAAGTGAAGTGTGCTCAGGCCACACGTGGACGTGCCTCGAACGAATCGCGTTGGGCGAATTTTTAACGCTAGCCGAGGAAAAATTTTTGCGCTAAAATGTATCGCTAGCTGGATTTAACGTTAGGTGATGCCATCGTTAGCTGAGGGTCCACTGTACTTACATATATCCTTTCTAAATCTAAACTTGTCTAATTTAAGAACAGAAGAACACTGCAGAAAGCCTATTGGCCCATGCAAGGCAGGTCCTTATCAAAACGACCTCTACCCAAAGCCCCTCCCACTCATATATTTGTCCAATCTCTTTTTAAAGCTACCCTACTGGGAAGACTGTTCCACGCATCCACAACTCTCTTAGAAAGCCAGTACTTACCTATGTCCTTTTTAAATCTAAATTTTTCCAACTTAAATCCATTATTTCTAGGTCTTACCTGGTTCGACACCCTCAGTACTTTATTAATATCTCCTTTGTTTAAACCCGTCATCCACTTATACACTTCAATGATATCTCCCCTCATTCTATATCTCTCCAGAGAGTGGAGATTTAAGGCTTTAAGTCTATCTTCATATGGGAGAATCCTTACACAGTGAATCATTTTAGTCATTCTTCTCTGTATGTTCTCCAATGAGTGTATATCCATCCTGTAGAGAGGAGACCAAAACTGAGCGGCATAATCCAAATGAGGCCTCATCGGTGAAGCCCGTGAAAGTTGAAAACGCGAACGTTGAGGGAGACCTGTATATACAGTGGACCCCCGCATAACGATCACCTCCCAATGCGACCAATTATGTAAGTGTATTTATGTAAGTGCGTTTGTACGTGTATGTCTGGGGGTCTGAAATGGACTAATCTACTTCACAATATTCCTTATGGGAACAAATTCGGTCAGTACTGGCACCTGAACATACTTCTGGAATGAAAAAATATCGTTAACCGGGGGTCCACTGTATAAACATGTACATATATGTGCAGTGTGACCCAAGCGTAAGTAGAAGTAACAAGACGCACCTGAAATCTTGCTTGTTTATAAGAAAAAAAAGACACCAGCAATCCTACCATCAGCTTTTGTTTTACACTCACTTGGCAGGACGGTAGTACCTCCCTGGGTGGTTGCTGTCTACCAACCTACATACTGTATATTTTTTTTTTAACAAACCGGCCATATCCCACCAAGGCAGGGTGGCCCAAAAAGAAAAACAAAAGTTTCTCTTTTAAATTTAATAATTTATATGGGAGAAGGGGTTACTAGCCCCTTGCTCCCGGCATTTTAGTCGCCTCTTACAACACGCATGGCTTACGGAGGAAGAATTCTGTTCCACTTCCCCATGGAGATAAGAGGAAATAAACAAGAACAAGAACTAGAAAGAAAATATAATGCAGAGAATTCGTAGTTTGGAAGTTAGGAGGAGGTGCGGGATTACCAAAACTGTTGTCCAGAGGGCTGAGGAAGGGTTGTTGAGGTGGTTCAGACATGTAGAGAGAATGGAGCGAAACAGAGTGACTTCAAGAGTGTATCAGTCTGTAGTAGAAGGAAGGCGGGGTAGGGGTCGGCCTAGGAAAGGTTGGAGGGAGGGGGTAAAGGAGGTTTTGTGTGCGAGGGGTTTGGACTTCCAGCAGGCATGCGTGAGCGTGTTTGATAGAAGTGAATGGAGACAAATGGTTTTTAATACTTGACGTGCTGTTGGAGTGTGAGCAAAGTAACATTTATGAAGGGGTTCAGGGAAACCGGCAGGCCGGACTTGAGTCCTGGAGATGGGAAATACAGTGCCTGCACTCTGAAGGAGGGGTGTTAATGTTGCAGTTTAAAAACTGTAGTGTAAAGCACCCTTCTGGCAAGACAGTGTTGGAGTGAATGATGGTGAAAGTTTTTCTTTTTCGGGCCACCCTGCCTTGGTGGGAATTGGCCAGTGTGATAAATAAATAATAAAATAATACCTAGAGGGGTGTGTATATATATGCTTGTACATGTATGTGTAGTGTGACCTAAGTGCAAGTAGAAGTAGCAAGACATACCTGAAATCTTGCATGTTTATGAGACAGAAAAAAAGATACTAGCAATCCTACCATCATGTAAAACAATTACAGGTTTCCGTTTTACACTCACTTGGCAGGACGGTAGTACCTCCCTGGGTGGTTGCTGTCTACCAACCTATATATTGTATATATATAAAAAAAAAAGTTAGGCTTATCTTGGAGTATGCAGCACCAGTATGGAACCTAAACTGATAAAGCATGTTGAGCATGCACAAGAATGCAACAAGACTGGTTCCTGAGCCAAGAACATGCACTATGAGGAAAAGCTAATGGAATTGAACCTAACAACACTGGAGGACAGAAGAGCCAAGGAGGCCATGATAATATACAAAATACTCAGGAATTGGTAAGGTAGACAGGGATAGGCTGTTTGAGAAGCGAGACATGGGAACTTGGGAACATCACTCGAAGTTAAAGTCACAGATGAGCCGCAGGTATATTAGGAAGTATTTCTTCAGTCTCAAGAGTGGTCAGGAAGTAGAATAATTTTGGCGAGGAAGTGGTGGAGCCAGGCTCCATACATAGTAATAGAAGTAGGTATGACAGGGTCCATAAGGCAAAGAGTCAATCTGACAAGTGGTAAGTTAAGAGGCAGGCCCAGGATCTGAGAATTGACTCCTGCAACCAAAGAGAGGCAAGGACAAATAAGCGAGTACGTATGTTTGTGCATGCATGTGAGCACACCCCCCTTCACCAACACACACACACACACACACACACACACACACACACACACACACACACACACACACACACACACACACACACACACACACACACACACACACACAATTATAACCAACTGGGTTTTGCTACGTGTAAATTTTACTTAATGTCACTTTACTTACGAATACCTATCACTGCTCTTGCAGGGGATTACTGTATAAGAAGAGAAATGTTTAACATATCAACTAAAATTTTCTCATTTTAGTACTTACCAGGTGACGAGGGCAATACTTAAAAACTGGGAAACTTAGATTCCCACAACGTCGATCATAAACTCGCACAAACTGATCATGGCCGCTGACGCAAAACTGATTCTCATTGACAGGATGTGCATGGATGCTGTACAGGGAAATACGACTACCAGATACATCTTTCACCAGAGCAACCCTGAAAGACATTAACATCAATTTTATTTCAATATGAAAAGGTTGGAGGGAGGGGGTAAAGGTTTTGTGGGTGAGGGGCTTGGACTTCCAGCAAACATGTGTGAGCGTGTTAGATAGGAATAAATGGAGACGAATGGTATTTGGGACTTGATGAGCTGTTGGTTATATTGTGAGAAGGGTAATATTTAGTGAAGGGATTCAGGAAAACTGGTTATTATAGATTTAGCCAGACTTGAGTCCTGGAAATGGGAAGTACAATGCCTGCACTTCACCTCTTTCAGGGTCCAGAGGCCAAATTTCGAAGTGTGCACCAGGGTCCATGAATTTTCAAAAAAATAATTTATTTTTTCTTATGAAATGGTCGAGAATATTTTTCTGAAGGTAATAAAACAAAAAGTACGAAATTTGATGGAAAATTGACGAAATTATGCTCTTGCGAATTTTGATGTGTCAGCGATATTTATGCATCGGCGATTTTGCCGACTTTGACTCCCATTGTAGGCCAATTACATTATTCCAGTCAACTAAATTCTTAGCTATTTCACTAGTATTATTTCTATCGACTGAGCACAAGAAATCGCCAAGTCAACTGTTTCAACTACAAAATAAAGTGATGGGAAATTGGTAATTTGGCCAATTTAATGCAAAGTTCAAAATAGTATTCCAATTTCAAAATAGGGTCCAGAATAAACAATGCAGGCATTCCTGGCACTAAACTAACATTACCTCTGTTCATTAGTTACGTTTTCAGGCTTTACAAACTAATTCCATTTTGATTTTTTATTCACAAAATTAATTTTTATTCAAACCAAAAAATAGAAGAGTTACTGCTATGCAATATTGTAATAATTGTATAAATAATATCACCACATTTGCAAACGTATATTAGACTCACACGTATTAGACGTGCGAGGTCATTTGTTTACTCTTGAACATCGGCAAAAATTTAACATTTCCGCTACTTTGAGCTCAGTTTCAAGCCATTTCCAATACTAAAACCAATCAAAATCATCTCTATTTCTGTAACATATCTTCCATTCTATCAAATGAGACCAGGAAATCGCAAATACAACTATAAAAAAAATACAAAAAAACACTGCAAAGTCGCTGTTTTAATCGAAAATTACGGTCTCAATTTTTCTTCTCTCATTATGCACTGTGTGCTGCAGGATTTGTTTTATGTGGTGCACACATACCACAGATGTATTCTCTCAAATCTAGGCCCAAATTTACCGCTCACATCTTATCAGAGTGAGCTGAGCTCATGGCGTAGATCTATGGTTTGGACCCTGAAAGGGTTAAAGGAGGAGTCTGGGATATTGACAGTTTAGAGAGACTTCTAAACTGTCATATCTGAGCACCTCTGCAAAGATAGTGATTATGTATGAGTGAGGTGAACTTGCTGAATGATGAAGAAAGTATTTTCTTTTAGGGGATTTTTCTTTCTTTTTTGGGTCACCCTGCCTCGGCGGGAGACAGCCAACTTGTTGAAAAATAAAAAAATGAATATTCAAAAGTGTAAACAATACCCAGTGCTACCATAGATTTGTCCCGAGTACAGCTGTAACTATCTGTATGTAGCATTATGTGAAAAACTAGACGAGGTCATGTTAAAAGCATAACCAGTTAGTGATGAAATCTTCTTCTCTTCTTTCAACAAACTGGCTGTATCCCACTGAAGCAGGGTGGCCCAGAAAGAAAAACAAAAGTTTCTCTTTTTAACTTTAGTAATGTATACAGAAGAAGGGGTTACTAGTCCCTTGTTCCCAGCATTTTAGTCACCTCTTACAACACGCATGGCTTACAGAGGAAGAATTCTGTTCCACTTCCGTGGAGATAAGAGGAGAGAGACAAGAATAAGAACTAGTACAAAAATAGAAAATAATCCAGAGGGGTGTGCGTATATAAATGCTTGTACATGCACCTGTAGTGTGACCTAAGTGTAAGTAGAAGTAGCAAGATGTACCTGAAATCTTATATGTTTATAAAACAAAAAAAAAATCACCAGCAATCCTACCATCTTGTAAAACAATTACAGGCTTGCGTTGTACTCACTTGGCAGGATGGCAGTACCTCCCTGGGTGGTTGCTGTCTACCAACCTACTACCTAGGATTAACAGTTTTTTGTTTTTTTTAACAAGTCGGCCATCTCCCACCGAGGCAGGGTGACCCAAAAAGAAAAAAAATCCCCAAAAAGAAAATACTTTCATCATCATTCAACATTTTCACCTCACTCACACAATCATTGTTTTTGCAGAGGTGCTCAGAACACAATAGTTTAGAAGCATATACGTATAAAGAATACACAACATATCCCCCTAAACTGCCAATATCCCGAACCCCTCCTTTAAAGTGCAGGCATTGTACTTCCCATATCCAGGATTCAAGTCCAGCTATATAAAATAACCAGTTTCCCTGAATTCTTTCACTAAATATTACCCTGCTCACACTCCAACAGCTCATCAGGCCCCAAATACCATTCGTCTCCATTCACTCCTATCTAACATGCTCATGCACGCTTGCTGGAAGTCCAAGCCCCTCTCCCACAAAGCCTCCTGTACCCCCTCCCTCCAACCCTTTCGAGGACGACCCCTACCCCGCCTTCCTTCCCCTACAGACTTATACGCTCTCCATGTCATTCTACTTTGATCCATTCTCTGTAAGTAACCAAACCACCTCAACAACCCCTCTTCAGCCCTTTGACTAATACTTTCATTAACTCCACACCTCTTAATTTCCACATTCCAAATTTTCTGCATAATATGTACACCACATACTGCTCTTCATGTCATTCTACTTTGGTCATTTAGAGAGAATGGATCAAAGTAGAATGACAGAGAGCATTTAAATCTGTAGGGGAAGGAAGACAGGGTAGGGGTCGTCCTCGAAAAGGTTGGAAGGAAGGGGTAAGGGAGGTTTTGTGGGAGAGGGGCTTGGACTTCCAACAGGCGTGCGTGAGCGTGTTCGTTAGGAGTGAATGGAGACGAATGGTATTTGGGACCTGACGATCTGTTGGAGTGTGAGCAGGGTAATATTTAGTGAAGGGATTCAGGGAAACCGGTTATTTTTATATAGCCGGACTTGAGTCCTGGAAATGGGAAGTACAATGCCTGCACTCTAAAGGAGGGGTTCAGGATATTGACAGTTTGGAGGGGTATGTTGTGTATCTTTATACGTATATGCTTCCAAGCTGTTGTGTTCTGAGCACCTCTGCAAAAACAGTGATTATGTGTGAGTGAGGTGAAAGAGTTGAATGATGATGAAAGTATTTTCTTTTTGGGGGTTTTCTTTCTTTTTGGGTCACCCTGCCTCAATGGGAGACGGCCGACTTGTTAAAAAAAACATTGCCCTTAGTCAAGGACATTTAATTTTCTGACTTTAGTTACCTAGTATGCTGCTCTTGTCTAATATCTATGTTAAGTACTACTGCATCTTCTCCAGCAGATAATACAACATGTGGGGAGGTAGGAAGTGTTGCTAATTTATGTGCTGGACCATGGTGCTTGGCTAACTTGCGGGTGGATTTGCACACGCCTGTTGACGAGAGCTCTGCCAAACGTACTTGTCCATCACGCGCACAAGATACAATGTGTGTGTCTCCGCTTAATGGTAGGAACTTACTCTGAAAAAGAAAAAAAAAAGGAAGTTGGAAAATATTCCAAATACTGAAATTAAAACAAAATAATGGCAAGAAGCATATGCATATTGTCAGTACTGTCTTGCTATTATGAACGTTGAGAAAAATAAATTAAATAAATGCGGTACAGGGGTGCCCTGCTTTAGCACTTCGTTAATGCAGTGGTTTTCAGTTATACCTATTTGTTATTTATTCAGACTTCCTACAACAGATATATTCACCACTCACGATAAGCTAAGGATGAAAATATTTTTAGGAAAGTAATTTGTGTGCTGTATATGTATTTTTTAAGTCCTAGCTTTACTGCTCACTTAACCCCTTGACTGTCACAACCCCCAAGCCTGAGGTGTCTCCTGGTGTCACAAAATTTAAAAAAAAAAAAAAAAAAAAATTCTTGTTAAATGGTAAGAGAATCTTTTCCCGATTGTAATGACACCAAAAAAAACGAAATTTGATGGAAAACTGACGGAATTACACTCGTGCGAAGTTAGCAACCTCGGTGATATTTAAAAATTGGCGATTTCACCCACTTTGAGCCCTGTTTTCGGCTAATTCCGTTGTTCCAGTCAACCAAACTCATAACTATTTCTTTAGAACTCTGTTTTTTCTATCGATTGAGTACAAGAAACTGCCCATTTACCAATTTCAACTACCCAATAATGTAGTCAGAAATTTGCAATTTGGCCATTTCAAGAAAATTAAAAAATATGACAATTTCAAAATAAGGTCCAGAATGAACAATGCAGACATTCCTGGCTCTAAAATAACATTTTCTTTGTTCATCAGTCACATTTCCAGCCCCCTCTGATATTACTCTTGCTTTCTATTTTGAATTTTTATTAAAACAAAAAATAGAAGATTTACTGTTATGCAGACTACGGAAATACTGTAATAATTATACAAATAATGTCAACCCATTCATGACTGCATATTAGAATGGCTAGTTGGACATTTAATCAACAATGACATAATTTGTTTACTTTTGAACATCGGCAAAAATCAAACATTTCCCCTACTTTGAGCTCCATTTCCAGGTTCTTTTTATAGTAAAACCAATCAAAATCACCTCTATTTCAATAATATGTTTTTCATTCTATCAAATGAGACCAAGAAAACGAGAATACAATCATAAATACTATACGAAAATAGACCACAAAGTCGGAGCACTGCGTGCTCCAGAATTTTTTTTATATGGTGCATACTGACCACACAGACCCATTCTCTCACAAGTGGGCCTACCAGCTTTCTCCTACTTGATTTGAAGCTGCTAGAATTTATGAGTATATATGTCAAACACAGTACCTCGTAAGATATATACAGTGGACCCCCGGTTAACGAACTTTTTTCATTCCAGTAGTATGTTCAGGTGCCAGTACTGACCGAATTTTTTCCAATAAGGAATATTGTGAAGTAGATTAGTCCATTTCAGACCCCCAAACATACACGTACAAACGCACTTACATAAATACACTTACATAATTGGTCGCATTTGGAGGTGATCGTTAAGCGGGGGTCCACTGTATATATATACGATTGAAACAGTTAAAGGGTTAATATATGACTAGTTATCGGGTATTTATAAACATCTGAGAGTGAAAAAAGGTTATGTTTCACTTTACAGCAATTTTTGCTTGACAGCAGTAGCCTGGAACTTAACCTGCGGTATAATTGGGGCCCTCCTGTACATATAAAAATCTTGCAGTGACATTAGGCAAAGAAATTATACAACTAGAACACACCAACTATTGTTTTGTGTTAAGCAAGATACAATATTGCATCACCAAATTGTTATTATATTACTCCTAACTATTAAGTCTTTCTTATTACTACCAATATTATCGAGAATACTATCCTCCACTGAATTTGTACCTCTTTAATTATACATTAATACCAAGATAAATGTGCCCCCAGTAATCATACAAAATTATTTTAAATTGGTATAAAATATTTTAATTGTTAATAATAAGAACCCATGTACTAACACAGACCCCAGAGTCCCACTGGTGATGAGCCTGCTCAGCCTTCAGCTGACATGGGCCAAAGAGTAAGCAACAAAATTCTAAAATAGAGCACTATAAATACAAATGACTGAAAAATATGATTTTTCCACATTGTTTCCATTACAATGAGAAGCATGTTATAAGTAATAACTGACCTGGAATACATTATTTCGATGGCCACTGTAGAATGTGATCAAAGCTTTTTCTCTGGCCCAGTCCCACACAGCAATCTGAAAGTCATCTGAGCCACTGGCTAATCTAGTTCCAGTGGTATTAAAGCTTAATGCATTGACACATCCCCGATGAAACTCCATTTTGTACATTAACTCAAGGCGTTTAGGCACATGGAGGGAGTCATAATAATGGTGGCCGAACAAGATTGATGTCTGATGTTTAGCTCTCCCACCTAACTGCCTGCAAATCGAGGAATACACAACTGTATTGATAATTTCTCACCAACATGCTTAACAGCAATGCTTTAATTCCAGTGCTAAATACAATAACTATTTTTTTAAGAACCAAATTATATTTATATCAAAAAATTGATAATGCAATGATAAATAGTATTAGGACATTCAACTATATATCACTTCATTATGGGACATGTGTAAATGTTAGTTTTTACCCGATTAACTTTTGCTAAAAATTTAAAATGTGCATGTTGCCGAGTACCTTAAAAATTAAATTTTATTCCAATTAAATTTTCCATAAATTTTTGTATTTTAATTATTTTTGCCAATAGGCTCCCATGCATTTTGATAAGAAATATACAAACCTACAGCCCAACCCCTAATATCATATATACATTCACAGGATAGTGAGTGAATGACCATGAATTTGTTTCCTTGGTGGGAGATAGCTTGCATGTTAAAAAAAAATTAAAAAAAATTTTTAACAAGTAAGCCGTCTCCCACCGAGGCAGGGTGACCCAAAAAGAAAGAAAATCCCCAAAAAGAAAATACTTTCATCATCATTCAACACTTTCACCTCACTCACACATTATCACTGTTTTTGCAGAGGTGCTCAAAACACAATAGCTTAGAAGCATATACGTATAAAGACACACAACATATCCCTCCAAACTGATAATATCCCGAACCCCTCCTTTAGAGTACAGGCATTGTACTTCCCATTTCCAGGACAAGTCCGGTTATATAAAAATAACTGGTTTCCAGGAATCCCTTCACTAAATATTACCCTACCCACACTCCAACAGATCGTCAGGTCCCAAATACCATTTGTCTCCATTTACTCCTATCGAACACGCTCATGCACGCCTGCTGGAAGTCTAAGCCCCTCGCCCACAAAACCTCCCTTAACCCTTCCTTCCAACCTTTATAGGGACGACCCCTACCCCTCCTTCCTTCCCCTACAGATTTATATGCTCTCCATGTCATTTTACTTTGATCCATTCTCTCTAAATGACCAAACCACCTCAACAACCCCACTTCAGCCCTCTGACTAATACTTTTATTAATTCCACACCTTCTCCTAATTTCCACACTCCGAATTTTCTGCATAATATTTACACCACACATTGCCCTTAGACAGGACATTTCCACTGCCTCCAACCGCCTCCTCGCTGCTTCATTCACAACCCAAGCTTCACACCCATATAAGAGTGTTGGTACTACTATACTTTCATACATTCCCTTCTTTGCCTCCATAGATAACATTTTTTGCCTCCACATATACATCAATGCACCACTCACCTTTTTTCCCTCATCAATTCTATGATTAACCTCATCCTTCATAAATCCATCCGCCGACACGTCAACTCCCAAGTATCTGAAAACATTCACTTCTTCCATATTCCTCCTCCCCAATTTGATATCCAATTTTTTTTTTATCTAAATCATTTGATACCCTCATCACCTTACTCTTTTCTATGTTCACTTTCAACTTTCTACCTTTACACACACTCCCAAACTCATCCACTAACCTTTGCAATTTTTCTTTAGAATCTCCCATAGCACAGTATCATCAGCAAAAAGCAACTGTGTCAATTCCCATTTTGTATTTAATTCCCCATAATTTAATCCCACCCGTCTCCTGAACACCCTAGCATTTACTTCTTTTACAACCCCATCTATAAATATATTAAACAACCATGGTGACATTACACATCCCTGTCTAAGACCTACTTTTACTGGAAAGTAGTCTCCCTCTCTTCTACACACCCTAACCTGAGCCTCACTATCCTCATAAAAACTCTTTACGGCATTCAGTAACTTACCACCTCTTCCATATTCTTGCAACATCTGCCACATTGCTCCCCTATCCACTATCATATGCCTTTTCTAAATCCATAAATGCAATAAAAACTTCCCTACCTTCATCTAAATACTGTTCACATATATGCTTCAATGTAAACACTTGATCTACACATCCCCTACCCACTCTGAAACCTCCTTGCTCATCCGCAATCCTACATTCTGTCTTACCTCTAATTCTTTCAATTATAACCCTACCACACACTTTTCCTGGTATACTCAGTAAACTTATTCCTCTATAATTTTTACAATCTCTTTTGTCCCCCTTCCCTTTATATAAAGGGACTATACATGCTCTCTGCCAATCCCTAGGTACATTCCCGTCTTTCACACATTTATTAAACAAAAATACCAACCACTCCAACACTATATCCCCCCCTGCTTTTAACATTTCTGTCATGATCCCGTCAGTTCCAGCTGCTTTACCCCCTTTCATTCTACGTAATGCCTCACACACCTCTCCCACACTCACATCCTGTTCTTCTTCACTCCTAAAAGATGGTATACCTCCCTGGCCAGTGCATGAAATTACCGCTTCCCTTTCTTCGTCGACATTTAAAAGTTCCTCAATATATTCTCGCCATCTCCCCATCTACTAACTCCCCTACTCTGTTTTTAACTGACAAATCCATTCGTTCTCTAGGCTTTCTTAACTCGTTTAACTCACTCCAAATTTTTTTCTTATTTTCATCAAAATTTATTGACAGTGCCTCTCCCACTCTATCATCTGCTCTCCTTTTGCACTCTCTCACCACTCTCTTTACCTTTCTTTTACTCTCCATATACTCTGCTCTTCTTATAACACTTCTGCTTTGTAAAAACCTCTCTTAAGCTAACTTTCTCTCTTTTATCACACCCTTTACTTCATCATTCCACCAATCATTCCTCTTTCCTCCTGCACCCACCCTCCTATAACCACAAACTTCTGCCCCACATTCTAATACTGCATTTTTAAAACTATTCCAACCTTCTTCAACCACCCCACTACTCAAACTTGCACCAGCCCACCTTTCTGCCAATAGTTACTTATATCTCACTCGAACTTTATACACTTTCACCTCCCTCTTGCTTGTTGTTGCCATTTTCCTCTTTTCCCATCTACCTCTTACTCTAACTGTATCTAGAACTAAATGATGATCCAATATATTGGTTGCCCCTTTAAAACGTGTACATCCTGGAGCCTACCCATCAACCTTTTATCCACCAATACATAATCTAACAAACTAAAATATATTCACTAATAAAGAATGGTTTGTAAGATTTATATTAAGGTGCCTCAAGTTACTGAGTGATACAGTCCATGTTACTATACAATTTCCTAACATCACGCACTGAAAGGTAAAGATACCGGTAAGACATGTTTGGACAGTTTTACAGAAGTTTAAAAGGAAGGTATTTACCATATAGGAATTTTTCAAGGAAATCTTCAATAAATGTTTTGCATCAGGAATAAAAATGCAATAAAGATAAAATATAATGTTTTTACCTACTGTAGTAGACAATGTTCCTCTTCACCCATCTGACCCAAGTGATTGGTACTATAACATTAGTGTAGATTTCTCTGCCTGCCCACACCCCTTCCATGCAACCCCTAAACCAATTCTAAACCAACTGCCTACCCCTCTTTCCTTCCATGTCAGCTGATCATCCTTCCAAATAGTTTCTTTACAAAATAAATAAATAAATAGATTTACATATTTATTTAATTAACAATCAAGCCATCTCCCACCAAGGCAGAAAAAAAAAAAACACTCACTATCATTCACTCAATAACCGTCTTATCAGAAGTGAACAAATGTCACAAATATGACAACCTTCTAAACTTTAACATCCTTACCACTCTTTTAGAGTGCAGGCACTGTACCTCCCACCTCCAGGGTTCAAGTTTAGCTAACAGATTTTCCCTGAATCCCTTTACAAATGTTACCTTGCTAACACCACTCCAGCACTTCAATATATGAACAAGTAAGTATTTGATCATTCACTAATAAAATCACTTGTTGGAGCCCAAGAAAGAAAGAAAAATCTCTAGATCATCTAAATTTTGAATTATCTAAACACCCCCAAATGCTTTAATCAAGCACAAATTTCCTTACAAAGTAACAGCCTAGATACCAATAACTCTGTAAAAACCAACTATCTAACCTTTGAATAATTTGCTCAACAAAATTCCACTTATGTTTGGGATAAGGTCGGTCTTGAATTCTTTTAATTTCTTTGGCAATGGCTTCTTCAGTATCCCTTCGCTGTGATTCATCTTCCAAACTATCCCGAGTGCTTCTTCTCTGTCTTGTGTCGTCTGAATCGGAATCTGTATCTGACAGTAGGCCACCAAATATAGTTTGACGATTGTGAATTCTTTCTCGACGACGTTCTGACACTGGTGAATCATCTATGAATAATAATCACATTAAGACTAATATTTAAAATCCACAGACATCAATTTTTCAAAAATTAAAAAATATTTTAAACACTCCCACTTATCACACTCCACAGTGGAAATTTTAATGGTAGAAATCCAAAACAATGACAATAAAAAAAACCTCAGAAGCAAGTGAAAACAACCCAGTTTAACAACATATGGGAGAAAAGAATGACAAGAAAAATGAAGGACTCCAAAATATGGCAAGAGAAATAATAAGGGTGAAAGTAGAAAAGTAACCATTGAATGTGGGGATGGTTTCAACCACTTGATAGATAAGTGGTAGAAATGCGAACAGAGTGGTGAAGACATTATCAACCAAATTCCTCGATGTAACAATCGTTTTGTTTTTTTATCAAAAACATTAAAGAAGGAACCTGAGTTTGAGAAGGCAACAGTCAATGCTAGAACTGTATCTTGTTTTTTCTGCCTTGAAAGTTACGTTAGATTTTGTAGTTTTCAGGCATCCATTTCTTTTTTCATGTATCCCAGTTGTATATGATTTCAAATTTGTGACATGAATAAGATACACAAAGGCACACTAAAGATTTTACTAAGAACTTATGTCAAATCAACAATGACACAGTATGAATAAACCAAATATTCTGAATGAACTGTCTTCAAATAATATATTGTATTGCAATTTACACGTCTTACCAGTGCCATCATTATCTGTATTGCCACTTGCTGCACTTCCAGTTTCCATAGCTGAAGGACTAGTTGGCTCCATGTGATCTGTCTCTGTGTCTCGGCTGGTGTCTGCACTAGTCTCGTCCATTTCTGAGGCAGGGCCAGTAGTTATAGTGGTAATGGACTTGCTTATGAGAGTATCCCCAGTGTCATTGGTTGTCCTGTCGTTGACACTACTTGCACCCCTCTCGCATAGTGTGTTGTCGCCATCATCATCAGAGTCTGATTCAATGACCCTCGTCCGGTAACTCCTTGACCTTCTCGCCCTTCTACCAAAGACGACGGAACTTTCTCCATCTTTTCTGTCATTTTCAGATTTCACTTTTTTACTTGCTTCCTCATCAGATATCTCTGATCTTTCAATAGGAATGCTTAAGTCTTCTTTACTATCATTGTGTTCTCTTTTGTTATTTCCATTTTGTACCACAGTATCACTATCGTCCTTTGTGCAACAAGCTTCACTTAGATTCGTTAAGGAGGTCTCTGCTTCCTCTGCCATCTGGAGACCAACTAACTACCTGAAAATATAATTTACATTAACATCAATTGTTATGAAATTCTCAAGAAACTTATCTGGAGGATCAAACAAGCTATCAATCTATTTAACATTTTTAATTTGTCTAATATGAGAGATGAACGTGTAAAGACAAGTCACAGACTATGAAATGCAAGTTGTACAAACTGAAGCACTTAAAATACCCCCACTGGCCAATATAAGGGTAAGAAAACTACACATACACACAAAAAAATAAAAGATAAATATTTCTTACCACCAGAAACAAAAATAAAAGGCCATTTTTGTAGTAAAATTAGTACAGAAAAGACTAGAAAGTTTTCTTTGCAAACAGTGGGGAAAATATTGGAATGGGATACAAGAAGGTGATTACTACAACCACCGAAAATAATAAAAATGGTAAATTAACCCTGTCACTGAGTAGTCCATAGAGGTATGTAATAAACACCAGGTTCACAGATCTAAGTTTGTAACTCAGCTCCCTCTGATAACATATGATCAGAAAATTTTGGCCTAGACATGAGAGGATGGCTCTGCAGTCAGTGTGCACTGTTTAAAAAAAAAAAAACCTGCCCTATGTGGTGTATGTTGGTTTCAAAATAGCAAATTTGATGTTTTTTTCTAAGATTTTTTTATGGTTTTATTGGCTGTTTCTTGGGATTATTTGATAGAATTGAATATATACTGAAATGGAGATGATTTTGGTTGGTGCCAAAGCTGAAAGTAGTCTGAAATCAGGCTCAAAGCAACAGAAACCATTTGATTTCTGATGATTTTTCCTATGGACAGATAAGGCCTTTCCTTACACTTCCCTGTCTATTTTATGGGTATTTAGTAGGTCCAATTACAAATATAAATATTTATTGCCTTGTAAGCTTACAAAGTGTGGTTTACACGTTATAAGATTTTAATTACAAAAATGGCCACTATCGTGCTTAGGCACTAAGGGCAGACTAATAACTAATTACTCTATTTTGATATAGGTCATATTTGAGCAGTACATTTGAATATGTTAGGTACTTAGATACATTCTCAGTTAGGTACATACATAATTAGATTTTAAGTAGTTAGGTAGTCAAATCATTAAATTATTGGGACACCCTAAACCATGATCAATCATTCCTGGTTATATTTTAACATACAAGAAATAGGGTAAATCTTCAATTTTTGCATGCTGATGAATTCAAAATGGAGGACAAGTGTAATATAGGAGACCCTCCTATGCGAGGCAGTGTATGTAGATGCATACCATGCAATTTTAGATCAATGCACAATGCTTAGTTCTTCCTTCTTTCCATTGCCCCATTTTGTCTCTGGATATTTATCATGGCTTCCAAACTAAGTGCTGGTAAAGTAAGATTAAACCTTTGACTGTCGTAAGCCCCTTGCTGAAACTGTCATTCTATGTCGCAAAATTTTTTGAGAGAGAGAGAAAAAAAAATTCTTATGAAATGATAGAATCTTTTCCCAGTGGTAATGGCACCAAAAGTACAAAATTTGGTCGAAAACTCACGGAATTATGCTTCCGTGAACTTTGTCGTCTCGGTGACATATACACATCGACGATTTCGCCGACTTTGAGCCCTGTTTTGGGGCAATTCCATTGTTCCAGTTTACCAAACTCGTAGCTATTTCTTTAGAACTCCATTTTTCTATAAGTTGAGTACAAGAAACTGCCCATTTACCGATTTGAGCTACCCAATAAAGTGGTCAGAAATTGGCAATTTGGCCAATTTCATGCAAATTAAAAAAGATGCCAATTTCAAAATAGGGTCCAGAATATACAATGTAGACATTCTTGGCACTAAAATAACATATCCTCTGTTCATTAGTCATGTCTCTAGGCCCCTCTTACATTACTATTGCTTTCTATTTTGATTTTTTATTCATACAAAAAATACAAAATTTACTGTTATGCAGACTACTGCATTATTGTAAAAATGGTATAAATAATATCAGTGCACTAGTGAAAGAATATAAGACTCCCCAGTTGACGTGTATTGGATGTGTGGTGCGATTTGCTTACTCCTGAACATTGGTAAAAATCAAACATTTCCGCTACTTGGAGCTCAATTTCACAGTCGTTTTCATGATGAAACTAATCAAAATCATCTCTATTTCTGTAATACGTTTTCGATTTTATCACGCGAGACCATGAAAACGAGAATACAACGATAAATACTATATGAAAATACACCTCAAAGTTGGCGTTTTAATCCAAAAAAACGGTCCTTTTTTTTTTCTCATTATGCACTGCGTGCTGCAGGATTTTTTTTTATGTGGTGCACACTGACCACACAGACCTATTCTCTCACGTGGGCCTACCAGCTTTCTCCTGCTTGATTTGAAGCCGCTAGAATTTATGCGTATTAATACATCCGAAACAGTGGCGCATAAGACGTATATATACAACCAAAACAGTCAGTCAAAGGGTTAATAATGAAACTATGCCTATTACAAAATAACTGGAGGTTATCGAGATGCTGAAGTGCAGTGTGTGCATCCTGGAGATGGCATAGGGTGTTTGGTGTTAGAGAATCAATGATCTCGTCAATCTGAGACAATTTGGCATAGGTAAGGGCTTGTGCAATGAGTAATCCTCAGTGTGACATTAAAGATAAAGATTTTATTTCCTTGTAAAGGTTACAAAGTGTAATTACAATTTTGGTTTAATAAGTACAAGGAGAGCCACTATCATGCCGGGGTATTTCGAGCAGATTAATCTTAGTATATAATAACTACTTAACTCTAGATAAGATAATAGTGGTTAAGTCTATTAAAATCTTATTTAATATTAATACTAATGTGAGGTAGTCAAGGTGGAGGTTTATAAGAATAATAATCTTGAAGTTGCACATAAGAAAAACAATATTACAATTCATGGTTCAAGCAGTAATATTTCACAGATTAGCAGACATTTAATAAACTAGAGGTCACATTGTGAAAAGAATAAGGAACAGATCCATAGCCAACCTCTCCAGACACATCAACATGTTAAGCATCCTGAAATAGCCTTGAAGGCAAGTAACAATTTTTTTTTATTTTTTTTTTTTTAATTAATACATCGGCCATCTCCCACCAAGGCAGGGTGGTCCGAAAAAGAAAAACTTTCATCATTCACTCCATCACTGTCTTGCCTGAGGTGCACTTACACTACAGTTATAAAACTGATATTAACACCCCTCCTTCAGAGTGCAGACACTGTACTGCCCATCTCCAAGGCTCAAGTCCAGCTTGCCAGATGCCCTGAATCCCTTCATAAATGTTACCTTGCTCAAACTCATAAGAACATAAGAAAGAAGGAACACTGCATTGGCCCATGCGAGGCAGGTCCAATTCACCCACCGGCTTAAGCCAATGCCTTAAGGTAGTCAAGTCAGGTCACATTCATTAACCCGTAAACGGTCCAAACGTATATATACGTTTTTACCGCTAGTGCCCCAAACGTATATATACGTTTTATGTATCCTACATTTAACATTGCCACGATAAGCCTGAGTCGCCTAGACATGTGAGAATGGGTGTGAGCACTCACTGTGCACCATATTAAAATAATTGGGGATGCCTGGGTACCATATGCTCTTTTTTCCTATTAAAAAACAACAATGTTTTTTTTTCTCAAAAAAGTTGGGGCAGTACGGTAGTGAACGTATATATACGTTTGGACCGTTTATGGGTTAAGGAAAGAGCATGGCAACTGACCTAGTAGCACAAGCTAGTCAGGTCCAACTCTCACCTACCCACACCCACTCAAGTATTTATCCAACCTATTTTTAAAACTACACAACGTCTTAGCGTCTATGATGGTACTTGGGAGTTTGTTCCACTCATCCACAATTCTATTACCAAACCAGTGCTTTCCTATATCCTTCCTGAATCTGAATTTTTCCATCTTAAATCCATTGTTGCATGTCCTGTCTATGCTAGATATTTTTAGTACGCTATTGACATCTTTATTAATTCCTGTTTTCCATTTATACACCTCAATCATATCCCCCCTAATTCTACGCCTTTCTAGAGTGCAGATTCAGGGCCCTCAGTCTATCATCATAAGGAAGATTTCTGATACATGGAATCAACTTTGTCATCCTCCTTTGTATGTATGTTTTTCAATGCATTTATATCCATTCTGTAATACGGTGACCAAAACTGTGCAGCATAATCTTAATGAGGCCTAACCAAAGATATATAGAGTTGAAGAACAACCTGAGGACTTCTATTATTTATACTTCTTGATGTGCAGCCAAGGATTCTGTTGGCTTTATTGCAAACACTTATGCACTGTTGTTTTGGTTCCAGATTACTGTTAACCAGAACTCCTAAATCCTTTTTGCAATCAGTAATATTAAGATCTACATTATTTAATTTATATGTGGCATGGTTATTTTCCTGTCCAACATTTAGAACTTTGCATTTGTCTTTATTAAACTGCATCTGCCACTTCTCCAACCACTGCATCAGTCTATTCAAGTCATCCTGGAGTGCTCTAACGTTCTCATTAGAATGAATTGGACGGCTTATTCTGGTGTCATCAGCAAATTTGCTTATACAGTGGACCCCCGCATAACGATCACCTCCGAATGCGACCAATTATGTAAGTGTAATTATGTAAGTGCGTTTGTACGTGTATGTTTGGGGGTCTGAAATGGACTAATCGACTTCACAATATTCCTTATGGGAACAAATTCGGTCAGTACTGGCACCTGAACATACTTCTGGAGTGAAAAAATATCGTTAACCGGGGGTCCACTGTATCGCTATTTATTCCCTCATCAATGTTGTTTACGCAAATTGTGAACAACAAGCGGCCCAACAATGACTCCTGTGGAACATTGCTTGTGACGTGCCCCCATTTATGCAAACACTCTGCTGCCTATTTGTCAACCATGCGTCTACCCAGGAAAAAATTTCTCCTATTCCATGTGCCTCAAGTTTCCTCAATAGCCTCTGGTGTGGAACTCTATCGAAAGCCTTACTGAAGTCCATATACACAATATCATATTC